CGTTACTGCTAATAATGATGGAGAGGATAAGGAAGAGAATAATGATGGTGATGATGGTGATGGTGTGATGATTAATATAATGATAAGGATAATGACCATGATCATGATCATGATGTTGCGAATGATGATAAGTATAAAGAGAATGATGATAATTTTGATGATGATGAAGAGGATGAGGATGGTGGTGGTTGTCGTGGTAAAGGATCTCACTTGGACAAATAAACCGATTCCAATGTCAAATCGAAGTTTGACGCCAGGATGCACCGTCAGCAGGGCGCCTGGTGGTACGTGAATGTCTTCAACGACGTGGTAGAAGGTGAACGGTCCGGTCAGCGGTGGGAGCACCTGCTCCATCTCCCGTTCGACTGCAATTCGGCCGCCAAGACGGATGGCCGTGGACCCGGCAGGGGCTCTTTTGAACGCAGGCACGAAGGGGGGCTCGTAGTCGGTGGAGAAGAGGCTTCGAAGATTGGCCTCTTTCAGGAGGGGCAGATAGTTGAGACGGGCCAAGTTGAAGCTGAACGTGGAACAGAGAAGGGCAATTGAGCAGAAGCATTTACACGCAAGTTTATAGGAGCAGACGATGGGTCAGAAAATGGCTCAATCGGTCGGGTTGGATGATGACAAATTCCGAGACGAATGGAAAGTTTGCGCCCTTTGTGGATATCCAGAAAAACTGGCTTGCAGAAACTCCCTCAACGATATAGTGTGAGTCGACTTATCATTCCAGACGAATGCTTCATTGGAAACAACCTGGATTCGTGAATTGCTATCACAAGAGGTCGAATGAGGATTGGCTTGGAGTGTAGTGAAGTGAAGTGGAGTAGAGTGGAGTGGAGTGAAGAACGTCGAATTGTGCTTGAGGAAGAAGTTCGCGACTCCGAGGCTTCCATTAGCGAGCCTCAATCTTTTGGTGACGAGACAAAATATACAAACCGCGTTGGCATTCTATTATTTTTGCAAGTCTTTATCAACTACAAAGAGCAAAAAATGTGTCAGTCTGGCGTACCTTTGATTGGTCTAAACGAAAATGTAACGGAAAGGGAAGGGTACAATTTCAACGCAAACTGCTTTGAGCGAAAGTGTACATTACGATCCGCTTTTGCAGCTTTCATTTCAATTGGAAAGGCCGGAAAGGCATGCGCTAGAGCGTGAAACGATTTTTTACAAAAGGTCACGATGCGCTAAACCAAAAAGAGGGTCCAACCGTAACATTTATCACCTTAGACGAAATAGGGTGAATACATCTCATTACACTGATTTACTGGTAGTCTCGAAACCCCTACTCACATACGAATATAAGTAACTTTGTCGATTGCTATAGCAAACATACGTTTGCTTCATCGGCACTCCCACCAAA